ATATCCGAAAAAAAACATTTGCGGATGCAAAAATTTCCGGATACGTGTGGACGGGGCCTTAAACTATGGACTGGTTTATGGGGAGGGGTGTTGACCAGCATTTTATTTACAATGATGTTGGCTGATAACTACTAATTTCATCAATAGACCGTTTTCTTAAGGTTGCGTGCGCATCCCACAAAACGGGGCCACAAAACTGAAAAACGAAAATTCAGTAAAATTGAGAGGTCAGTCATATTTTTAAGCGAAGAATAATCGATTTCATGAATTCTTGTCCAAAATAATTTCATAGCAATGCATGATAATACTCGTGTTCTGATATCGTGGCCCTTCTAGTTCCTTGAATTTGAATGCGCGCGCAACTTTGAGAAAACGGTCTATTAGAACTTTATCATTAATAGGATAAGATTAAGTAATTAATAAGTACATACTTATTTTCAAGCATTACAAGTGTTTAGAGAACGAACCTATATTATTACATTACAATAATACGCTGCCCGCTACGAAAAAGCCAGTAGGATAAAAACGTCTTTGGTAAAAAGCCCACTGGATAACGTAGTCCTCGACCGATGCAACGTATTTAAGCTGCGAGCTAGGGCTAGAGCTATATTTCTAAAGTACATGTAACGTAAATTCTGATAAGTTTGGATACCAATGTTGGCTGCCCAACAAGCGAGAGGTAATGCATTTGGTATCACATCGGGGACCGGGGAGGAGGGGGAGGGAGGGTACTCCCATTTATTCGCTATACGGGTACGTGCCGCCAAACAGGGTATTGTTTTTCGGCGATTCTATTCTGGAACAGGGTATATGGAGTCACGCTCTCTCTTCTCTGGAACAGGCTATCCATTTTCGCAATACCGGAACAGGGTATAGTTTTCAGCGATCTTGCTCTGGAACAGAGTATGAATTTCAGCGATTTTACTCTGGAACAGGGTCAGGGTTCAGAGGGCTCAGCGGCACATCCCTACCCTAAACATGCAAGAGTACCCCCCCCCCCCCCACGCCCGGGGGTATCACACTAGCTTATATACTTAGCGTACTTAGCGTATATTTGCATAATTGAATGTCATACGATTAAAATATTCACAAGGGAATATATAAGATAGAGATATTCACTTAACGTGATCAATGTGCTACGAACCATAATGAACACGACACTAGAGAAAAACGTTTGCGCATGCGTGCACTTCAGCAAGTTTTCTAAGAATTTTGAAGAGTTTGAGTGAGAAAATAAATGTTTGTTTTCTTCAAGTATACAAAAAAGTTCGAGAGTAAACGTTTGTCAGACCAAGATACTGTATTAACAATCACAATATGAAAGAATTATCCTTACGTTTCAAGCATGGACACTGAGTTTTGGCACTTTGTGAAGTCCAATTTATCAGGCATGTTTGAAAGTCAAATTTACTTATGTTTTGACTAATTTGCATACGTTTTTCACTGGTGTCAATGAACACCCTTTCCAGCTGCACGTTGTTATGTTGGAAAACTGTTTTTCTGCTTATAAGGCACTAAGGATGTTATTTTATTATACATTTACATAATCTTTCACCAACAACACCAAAATCTAGGCTTTTTCCTATTAGTAAAACCTATATTTACACTTAACCTTTTCACTGCCCGGCCATATCCTATCACTTGTTACAATATCCCATCACTACCAATATTTTTTACATCACCTCTAGAGTTTCTTATATTGTGCTGAATAATCTTAATTATCATTATTTCATTATCATTATATCCCATCACTAGCATATACCGTCACTTGTATATCAAATAACTAGTATATCCCAACAATAGCTTCTGCTCAATTTCTGAAGAGAAATTGCTAAAAACCAAAATGAAAAAGACCAATATTTTTTATTTTTCTATTTCTATGAATAAATGTTACTGCAAACTTTTGTGACAGTCTGAAAACAATGTAACAGAGAAGTTTTGCCAACGAACAATAATATTTATCTAATATCTTTTGAAATGTTAAAATTGGATAAAACTGCAGAGTACGATCAATAAATGAACCCTTCATGAATATTATAATGGATGGTATAGTAATTACTTTTAGTTCTTCAGTCTTTGACGTTTGAGTTCCAGGAGTCTTAGCATCGTTCAATAGCTCTTTTACAGTCTCAAAAATAATGATTCAACTGATCTCCCGCGGTCAGCTTTTTCTGTTTTACACCAGTTCTTTCTTCAAGGACTTTCAAGACAGCTGCTGCTGTGGTATTCTTTGCTTTATACTCTTTCAACTTAAAAAGAACAAGAAAAACAAACTGACACAGTTTATATTGAATGCACATAAGGATACCTTCTGTAAGAAAGGCAGATTTCGAGGAAATATTTAAAAATCTTGAGTTCTATTCAAATGTCTCGTCAAATGCCTTAATTTTGCAAACAAAGAAGATTTTACAAAAAGAAATCATATTGAAATCCCAGAGTTTGGGCTAGCTGTGGTTAAAGAAGCAGATCTATTTCCGGTTATTTGGACGGATTGATTGGCCTTCCAATTGGATAAAACGAGGTGGAAACTTGAAAAACCGGTTTTTTGGTTTGAGCGCCAAGTTTAAAAATCCAAACTCCCCAAAAGATTCTTTCTTTTCTCGTGTGCCGTTTGTCCTTCGACGTTCATGTTGGGAGTATTGGGTGTCTTTTCTATTCTAAAAGAAACAAAACTTCAGTATAAAGCATTACTTCGCACTGGCTGGACACAGCACTTCCTTGCCATAAAAAGTTTAGAAAACATGTTGTTCATCAGTCCGTTCTCTTCACTTAAGCAAGACTCGTGCAAGAAGACGCACACAAAACAATACTGTTGGGAGACCAGAAAACAAAAGGTACTCCTATTTAAGACTGTTTATTGTTACTATAATAGTTCTTTCTTTTCTGTACCGTAAGGATTTGCGTAATTTTATTCCAGAGGAGTTACAAATAGAAGAAGGCTCTTTCAATTTAAGCTTATAATGCTTTTAAGTAACAGCAACTAAAAAATGTTTTAAAAGCTATCAAAATTTCTGCTTTTTAAATAAACTTCACTAGTTTTTTTAAAGTAAAGAGTTGTTTCAGTTCGATATTCTTAAACAAGAAATACTAAACTTTTATGCTCTAAGATAGAGCGTGCAGTTACGCACGTTCACCAAATAACTAACAAAAACCTAGCAGCCATAAATACAAATGTCTTAGTAGAGTACAAACACTAAAAGTGTGCGACACTTTGCACTATTTAGTAGTAAAAGTTGTAAGTTTAAAGTTGTAAAAMCTTAGTGATCTAAGGTTTTTTAAAAGATATGCAAAACTTCACTTTGAATTCTACCACATGACTTCAGCGAATGTTCTGAAAATAAACTTGTGTTTRATAATAGCTATRCGAAYCAACRAAAGAAGTATTTAGATTGTGAAAAGTGTTTCTAATTTTGAAAGGCTGGCTTATTTACCTTGTCTTTGACTGCGTCCATCTTGGGGGAGAAATACCACTAGAAAGTTTGACAAGCCTTTCTTTGGCAACTAGGATTGCATGGATTATTACCATTAATCTGATAAAATTAAGTTAAAACGAAATGGAGTGCTCGCACTAAACCCGTGAAACAAATACTAATTTTTAGTACCAGATTTTAGTATCAATCAGTATAAATACGCAGATGATTGTTGAAAATCTTGCGCGCTGATTGGTCGAGAAACTCAAATTATCAGAAGATAATCCCTTCCAAAATGGGTGCCAACCGCTTTGTTGCTGTTACCTATTAAATTTTAGATGTGTCCTTTTTTTTCTTTTTTTTGATAGAATCACCTTTGTATTTATACTAAAACAATTATTCACCTCAGGCTCAGTGAATATCAGAAATAAATAACCTCAACTTCGTTATAGTCAAGTAAATCCGCGCGATCTGATTGGTTGAAAAGCATGAACCATTTGCCCATGGGTTGCACGCTCACGTCAGCTTTTTTTGCTTCGGCGAAGAAAAACTTTTTGTATCTTTTTGCTGACAATTTATCTAGAAAAGACAGCTGAAAATGACCTAAAAACTAGCGAAAATACGCATCAATCCTCGACATTTAGTATAGAGTTGCCATTTGTAACGGTTACGTGTCTTGTACACTGTATTTAATTTTAAATTGATTCTTTTTAGCTACTTGTAAAGAACTGAATAAAACGATGTGTAACCATCTATGTGTTACAAATGCAGTTTTATTACGATCTCTCGAAACAGATTGTAGAAAGTTTGTTTGCTCACCAGTATATTCACCCATGGGAATCAAAATGTTCATTTATTTGCTGCCAGTGAATTTATCAGAAGGTGATTACTGAGCTGCAAATGGCCTATTACTTTCCTTCGTCTTTTTGTCAACATAAATTGTTGATGAGTAAAAGTAAAAGCATAGTAATGCAGCGGAATAGTTAGAAATTCTATTGCTCTCTGTTTTTGCTCGTCTTTATCCATTGTTATATGACGTTGACAATGCACAGTGAAGGAAAAGTTTCTCCATTTGTTCACAGTATTGGGGAATATAAAAGTTTTTTACCCTTAAAAATTGTTCTAAAATGTGTATCATTTGTTAATTAATCCTATATGATTAATATTACGTTTTTATTGAAAATGAAATTGCCCTTTTTAATGCTCTCTTATTTATCATCTAGTAAATTAACTGTATCTGCGTGGAAATATTTATACGCATGGTTTTTGGTCATGGAATGAAAGTTTTAACTTTCAAAGTGTTCATACATGAAAATAATAAAGAAATGAGTACTTTCAGCCATACTTGATTCGGTTCATTGTGTACTGTCAGTATCACGTGATGGTACGATTCAACATCAAAGGCAAAACAATAGCTTTTGTTCTATGGAGTTTCCAAACCATCCCACTCCATTAACTGTGGTAAAAGTAAAAATAATGACTGAATGAATGACTGACTGACTGTCATACTGAATAAATGAATGACGTGATGACTGGCTGAATGAATCGATAGTCAAATACTCCCTCCCTCCATAAAAACCTCTATCATGATTCAAATGTAATCATTGTATTACTGTTATCACACATTGTAAAGGTCATTGGGTTGGTAGGCAATTTGAGGCTTTATGCAAGTCAAATCAATAATACATAAGACTTTAAATTACACAAGGTTGAACTTTTCTAAATGCTATACAGTATTAAAATGCTATTCTGTGAAAAGCTTGACCAATCTTCATACTAGATAAGCTAATTGTCCACCCCTTTTTTATAATGTTACAGCTTGCTTATGAGAGAAAGAATGGCTTAGGCAAAATATCTATCGTTTTTCTGGGTACATTAATTATCATGGGGATACTAAAAATTCACTTCACAAGTCAAGAAATTTGTGTTATGTCAAGCTACCGTTTGGGTAACTTCAGCAAATCATCGGTTAAAGATAAATCTCTTGATGGTGTAGTGTTGTTAGATGTGGCAGGAGTACAAGGTGTATTGTATGTATTAGGAGTATTGACTCTGTGTGATGGCGATGGTGTAGCATAACTAGCACGCAATGCTTGATCTGCTCCAGTCTTGATGCCAAATCTTTGAGAAGCAAGACGCTTGGCTGCAGGAGACATGGTATTCAAACGTTCCATCTTATTTGCATAAGGACTCCTAGAAAACAGGATTCACTCCTAAGTTAAGATGCTTTTTTGTATTTCAAACATATAGGCTGACTTACTTGCCAATCATGGCTGCTGCCTGAGCACGTGCTTCTCTTGTTTTTTCTCTATATTTCTTGGTTACTTTTTCTGCAAGAGCCAGCCCTAACTGCTCCCTTTTCTTTGGCTCTGGCATCTTGAAAGTGGGTCCTGGTGTTGCTGCTGGTCTTGGAGTGTCACTACCATCCAGACGGAATGGTGTTCCGTCAATTGTACCCCAAGTCATTAGTGGTGAGGCATCCACTCCTGATAGTAACAAATTAAAACTATAGTAAATTAACTGAGAATAGCGGCCATTTTAGCTGTCAAATGACTCAATCACGTGTTACCCACTGAGTAGTTCTATATTCTTAGCTCACAACTCTCACCCATTTTGTTTTTGGTTCCACACATTAACAGCACAAGTTTTGGCCTCATATATTTCATTTGGCTTAAAATTAATTAGTTAGTCATGTCTCCACACATGAAGGAACTAATTCATACACAATTCAATCCACTCTATCACAAATCACATGTAGAAGAATACATTAGATAATTAATATGTAGCAATCGCAATTGCCCAGATCTCATTCCATGTCCAATCACAGCACTAATTTCACTTACTGTAGAATATGAAACGGTTTATACATTTGTTACCAATTGCCCTATTTCACTATGACATCACATCAAAACAATCTATTCTATCTCCCACATAAACAAGCAGTGACGTCATAATGAAATAGGGCAATATGAACATTGATTTACCTGGCTCAACTGTAGGTGTAGCAGCTACAAAGCCATATCCATTAACCTGAGGACTAGCAGATACTTTGTCTTCAATTCCATCAACTCCAATTTTTCCTGGCTGACTAGCTAATTTACAAGCAGCAGCAGACGCTAATGATTCACTACAAACATGATCTGGAAATGGATTTTTAGTAAAGCCAGTATTTTTATGACTGATTCCCTGTTTTTTATGTTTTCTATTGTCAATAATATCCTTGACAGATTCTTCCACTCCTTCAGGACAGTACATTAGAGCATTTTTGTTTTTGTAAGTCCATGTGTCTATCATTGCAGGACGTTCAGCCTGTAGCAGTTCATCTCCTTGTTTTGGTTCAGCTAAGGCAAGACTTTTCCGACTTTTCCTTGTCTGTTCCTCTTCTTTTTTATACAACCATGCATATTTTTCTTTTTGCCGTACTCTAGCTTGCTCCATGATTTCTTCAAAGGAATCATTATCTTCACTCGTATGTTTTGCCAGAAATACATCCAGAGTATCATCTGATGGGTCTGCCATTTGGCTTTCTTTGATGTTCTTGGTTTGCTTGTCTTTATGACTTTCTTCTCTTGGTGCTGTAGTTTTTCCTGGTGACCAATGCACAGTGCTTGGTGTCTCGAAAGATGCTGGAGACTCTAGATAAAAGCAAAGTAACAATTTTTATACCAAATTAATATTACAATCTTGTACATGTAGTGTCATTGACAAGGCAACTCCAACTTTTCAGCACGTTATGTGCAATTTTTGCAATACTGTTATGTATGATTATTGATATAACGAAAAGTATCCCTTACCAGGAGGACGACCATTGGGTGTACATAGTACTTGGTATCTTTCAGATATTTCTCTTAGCTTTTCCACATCATTGTTCTCTGTTGCATCAAGATATTCATTTTGTGCTCTTATCTTTTTTAATTCCGGAAAGAAATCTCTTTGGATGATTTTATCTAGTGACTAGAATATTAGACAATATTAGAATATTAGCCTAAATTAGACAATGATAATGAAGCTAACTATATGCTTGTCAAAAAGGCTCTAAATATCAAACACTGATACATATTTTTATGAAAGGGAATATATGTACCATCTGTCCACGTCTTTAAAATACTGTATGTATATTCAAATGAATGCATTTCACTTGTATAAGGACTATAGCCAAAACAAATTGTGGTATACTTCATTTTTAGAAACATTGCTTCATTGGAAAACGAATTTGTCAATGCTTCACCCACTGAGAGAGCCAAAATACATATCAACTTTGAGGTAATCAACTTTGAAGTGTTTAACATTATATCTTGGCTTTAAGATTGTGAAATTATAATAGTCTTCCAATAAATCAATGATGGTGAAAAAATGAATTATCAACTAAGTACTTTGGTACATCATGATCACTATGTACTAAATAAAATAAAATTTCAAAAATCTCCTAAACTTGCAAAATATTTAAAAACCATTAAAAAACTCATTATTAATTCATGAAGGAAACACAACAGAAATCATGACCATGGAGGTGATTTTATATCTGATATAGATTCGTCTTCATTTGCATAAACTTTAACTTGGATTTTCTCTATCAAACTTGGTTCATTTCGTAAAGAATTCCATACAATATGAGAACATACATCATGAGTTTTTTAAGCTATCAATAAACTAGCAGATTGTGTTTTATCAGGTCTAAAAACACTTGGCTACGCCTCGTGTTTTTAAATCCTGATAAAACACTCCTGCGAGTTTATTAAACAGTACTTCAAAACAGTTTAATAGCTATTATGATACATGATACATATTTTCAAGGGCGGATCCAGAAAATAATTTAGGGGCTAATTGAGTTTCTTCCGTCAACACAACGGAAAACAATATAAAAAAGCATGTTTTTTTCTGCTGAGGGGGGGCTTTAGCCCCCCTTTTCCCCCCCTGGATCCGCCCTTGATTTTGAACAAGTGGATTTTAGTAAAATCAAAATTATCCACAGGATAGTAGTATTTTTCCATAGTCTTGTGGTTTCTTACTAGTAGTGGTTTTGCACAACAAACAAGTCTACAGTACTAACCCTATATAATAATTTGATTTTTTCGACTGTTGCTGGCCTATTTTTGATCTTTGCTGATATCCTTTCATATGATATTCATATATACTTATTTCAATAAAGTGAGTCACCTGACGATCTATAAAGCTGAGGCCGACAAGGATTATGGTTAGATACATTTTACATGTTTCAACCAATTTGATAACTGATGATGGACTTGCTTGATGCTCACTCCTCAGTGATCTCAGCTTTCTAGGTTTTTGGTGACTAACTTTATTGAAATAAGTATATATATATATATATCATAATATGATATTCATATATACATTGGAATTTCATTCATTTTGATATATTATTATAATGCTCCTTATTCCATACACACACAACAGTATAATAAATGAGAATACATTGTTCAAAGTGAGGCTATTGGGTGTTAAGCTAGTTTATATACATATTTTGCTTTCTTGTTGATCCAAGACCCAATGGATAAACATTGAACAGCTTTTGATTGTAGGAAATATAGCTCAAAGCCAAAATAAGAAGTGTTGTATCTTGGTTTGTGTCCTTGGTGTTTTTACATTGATATTAATTTATCCAGAAAATTCTCTTCCCAGTCAACCTTTGTATAGCTCATAATTCTCAAAATGCAAAAAAAAAAAAGAATAAAAATCAAGAATGCTATGTACTTAAAAAGCGAAAACTACTCTTAGCATCACTCAATTGAGAAGCACTACCATTATTGTCGATTATCTTGTTAAAACATCAACTACATGAGTGAAACATTTTCCTGAATCTGCTTTTTTATTTTTTTATTTTTTTATTTCTTTTATGCCTTCCAACTAGAAATTAATAAGATATGTTATATATATATATATATATATACAATTAGGAATATAAGTATGAACATAGCTAGAGCAAGCTTTAAAAAGGTGGCTGTCATTTTTTTAAAGGAAGAGCAAAAATAATAGTACCCTACTTATAATCACAAGAGGTGAGAGGTAATACCAGGGCTGTCAACCCCCAAGATATTCAAATCTGGAGAATTGATAGGGAAGGGACATGATGTCACAGCGGAAAAAAGCATGCGAAAACACGTCATTCACTTTGTAACATTTGATGTGATTGGTGTATTTCTGACCAATTAGATTATTGCTTATAGTAATTACAATGGCCTGCTTGCAACAACAGTTTATGAGGAATGTTTTGATTTTGTTAGCAATGTAAAATAACACAAACAACACAAAATAATTGGAATTTTATGGTTATGAAAGTCAAGTCTCACAAAAAATGGACAGCTTCAGCAATTATCCGGGAGATTTGAGACTCTAATCTGGAGACCGGGAGATACGGTCCCAAATCTGGAGACTCCCGGTTTATCCGGGAGAGTTGACAGCCCTGTAATACACATTGTGATTTGAACTTGTGAGCTGATATTGGCTGGCTTCCGTGTTTATATCAGAGGACAGAAATGCTCGTGCAAAATGGTTCAAAAATATTTTATGAAAGCAATATTAAACTGCTGCTTATATCTCTGTTCATCAACAGCTAGACCAATGTATGTATAGGACTTTAGTCTCTCACTTTTACATCCATTTATACAGATATCTAGACTTTCTGGTATTATGCCAAGCTTTTGCAGTGTGCAGTGAAGGAACAGGTATGTTCGTTAGCACTTAGCCATCGAAAAACATTAGAAAGGTCAAAAGACATGATGTGGGAAAGTGTATAGGGGCTATCCAAGGCATATAAAGGCATAAGAAATATTTCAACACTCAACTATTCAGTTTGTGTAAAATCAATACTGAAAGTATCATATATGTCAGGGGTAAGGTAAGCTTATTATAATATGTGTGTTTCATGTAAACTTATACATAAGCTGAAGGACGTGGACTGATATATTATATAAGCTTCAAGTATGTATATCAGTCTTCGATGTTTAGAGCGTGTTTGACGAACATACTTACTATAACAAAAAATAGTCTCAACTACTATACTATAAAAGCTTACGTTTTTTGTGCGTTACCTGTTCGTAAGTGTCTTCGTCTAAAACACACACTTTAGATTTCTTCGATAATTTAGCAGTTTCTCCATCATCACGTTTTAAAAGAGCCATCCCTATCGATTTAGTTGTTTAAAAGCTAAAACAATCTAGTTCTTTACCCAAAACTTCAGGATTTTTTTGCTGCTGTTAACATAGCAGTAAACATGGTGGAATCTGAGCAAGACTGGGAATAAGCAGGTCAGTAAGACTACCACAGGTATCCCAATGATAATACTACAAAGCACTCCTTTTAAGGTGGCTGGACCCCCTCACGCTTGACCGCTACCTTCCACGTTTGGAACGCTGGTGCATAAACATGTTTTATCCGATTGTAAATCTTTTTTGCACATAAGTCACATAAAGATTGAATTAATGTTTGATGCAGTTTTTAATGRAATCGGAYGTCATAACACGTGATTATGATGAAATATTTGTTTTTGTTTAGAGAACAATTTTAGCCTTGCAGAGCGTTCAACACTAAAATGCTTCGTACCACATAATTATATACTAGATGCCTCCATTTGTGGGGATTTTTGAAAAAATCTATCTCACCATGCACGGTCTGAACTCGCTTGGCTGCTTTTCTGACTTACTCCCGAAGTATGGTAATAGTTTTTTTTTTTTAATATTTAATTCAAGCAAAGCAGAAAATCGATATGTTTTAAAATGGCAAGCAACATACACAACAGTGTATTTGGTGCATCAGTATGAAATGTACTGTTATCTTTATTATTATCGAGCACACTTGCATACAAGATTGATAGCATTTACTTCTAGCTGAGAAACTTTCAAGAAAGAATGGGGAGTCATAGGCTACAGTAATTACATGGTTAAGAACACACCTCTCTTCTGAGATATTAAAGTGCTTATAAGCCTTTACAAAATATTTTCAGAAGTGAATAATTGATTGTGAAAATAATTCGTCATTTGGGTGTCGGGCCTTTGAGATACGAAGGTTTAYATTTCCAATATGTTAATGACTATGACGTAACATAAGGGATTTGAGTTATTTTGTGGCAACTTTTAATATTGAACACTGGACATTTTTTGAAAACAAATTTGTAAGAACCTTTACATGAGGCACGAGTAAAAGGGTGATGCTTTTAAATACTGTATTTCAGAAAGAGTGCAGTGTTGTATATTAAAATATGATCCCTTATGTTACATCATCCCGACATTTAAATGACGAAATATTTTCACAATCAACTATCCACTATCTAAAGAAT